AAAATGAAAATTGTTTTCAACATTTAAGACGATTATAATCATCATCTCCTCAATTGATGTGTTAGTTTGTGGTCTACTTTGCCATCAAATGAGAGAGACTTTTAAATCATGGTAACATTCACAGTGTAATCACAGTGTATACACTGGCATGCAGTTTGGTGTATGAAATAAAAACAAATGTCATTAAAATTCTGTTGCATTTGAATACAATTCCTGTATTGAAAACAATTACAACTTATTTATAACTTTGTGTTTCGCAACAGAAAATCATCTGTTTTATACCCAGATTTTTGTTTTTTATCACAAACTCAAGCGTTTACTTTATCATTGAATGGATTATAATATTTCACGTTTTGTTTAATTTTAATTTTATTTCTTTAATTGGATTACACATTATATGCGATACTATTGTCATAATTAAAAACCAATTTCTCAACAAAAAGTACATAATAATAACACAATTATTAATTTTGTCTTCAATTAAATCCATAGTCAAAGAATCGGTTCCGGGACTCGTGGGGAAGATTATACCCCATAAACACACCATAAAACCCTACGATTCCCAACATTTATCCAACAGTTGCTGCAAAACATCCCATCCGTCAACACATCCAGAGATAAACAGACGACAAGACCTCAAGAATCCGTATAAGAAGTGGAAGAATATGAAGAATAATAAGTGAATTCTTCGCCAAAACTTATTTATCATTAATTATTTCTCGCGTTTTCAAAAGACAAGGAAGTATTGTATGAGAAATATCTATAATAAACAACACATTGTATACAAGTTTCGTATGGGATTCACGGGATATTGCGATTGGATTGAAGCCAAAATCCGGATCAACAAAACATCTCAAGGATTGACAAAATAGTTTCATTCATAATATGATGTTTATGTGATTTATATAACACATCGCTAAACAAGTCTATCGCAAGAGATTAGTTGTTGTAATAATATAATTATAACAATAATAACCATGTATTGTATAATAATGTGTGACATAGATCGTTCGCCTAAAATTACCTCGCGTGAATAATAATAGCAATTATAACAATAATAATAATACATTCAATTATTTGGTGGATGTAAACGATAGTTACGTTAAGCCTATTTGAATACTCAGTTCATTTCACATTACGATTCACTGATTATTTCCACCAAAAAAATTTTACAAACTATTTGTAACAATAGTTTTGTTTGACTTCACGTTAAAAAACATCTAATTTTGGGAATATTTTTCAAAAAAACAGCTAATAATACGTTTACAGCAAAAAACACAATTCCATTGTATTTACAAGTTTTTAATGCCAACGATTGTCTCGACATCAAAGAGACAGACAACTCGTTTGGTCCGACAGTAAAACGTAAAACTATTGCCAAAAAAATATCATATATTTTGTGAACGAAACAGCATTTCCTCAATAGTCTTGTCATTTGATATTTGCTTATCATATATACCATTGTGTTTGTGAAGTCATATCCATTGAGCACTTGGTAAACAATGCCCACACCGGAGCCGATTGACCACTATTTTGACGAGTCGTTTGTACAGTCAGTTCGGGACCAGTTGTCGGAGAAGATTGAATGCAATGCCGATCTCTATGACAAACGCGATGTCCATAAGCTGTTGACATGCGATTGGTTTGTCCGCCGGTTCCTCGCCTGGAGGCCCACACAAGTCGACTGTGCCGTCAAATGCGTGGCCGAAGCCATGAAATGGAGGCACGCGTTGGGTATCAATGATTGGTATGTTATATATTATATTAAAATCAATTTATCATTTTATTATTGTTATAATTATAATAACATTACATAATGTTAGATAATATACGGTAAATGTGTTGAACGGGTGCCGAACTATTGACCCTTTGATTTATAAAAACCAATTATTTTCCTCATTTTTCAGGGAAAATATATCAATAATTGTTAATTAGTTTATGAATATTGTTATGATTTATAACATGTAATTAATCGCTAGAAATATTAATTTAGTTTTCTATCAATGAATAATGATTTTTGTTCTCTCTCTCTCTCTCTCTCTCTCTCTCTCTCTCTC